AGTCTGTGATTTGCCTGAGACCATCAAGCTAGATGATGTTTACCCTTAGGAATTAGATTTCTCTGCTCCCAAGTTCACGTTAGAGCCCCCAGAAAACTGGACTATATTAGGAAGCATGAAAAAGAGCATGGAGTGACTTAGCCTAGAAAGGAGACCAGCAAGGGATGACTGTAATCTCTTTCATGCTTAAAGATAATGTTGGGCAGGCACCAAGGACCGGCAAGTTCTCCATTTGCAGGGTAATAGCTCATAGGGAGATAAGATTCCATAGCTCTGGATTACAGCCATTTTACAAGCCGGCTAATAATTGCCTCACATTTCTTCAGAAAAGTTCTTGGTGTTATTCTCAGGAGAAAATAAAGCCAATGTTTAATAGTCTTGTCGAATCTTATTAGGTTTTAGGATTCTCATTTAAATGCAGACAATGTATCAATTACCCTAGAGACCATCTAGTTCATTTCATTCTCTCTTCGCCTCCGTCCGCGCCATGTAGTGTGCTTTAGGGTTGTAATGGAGGTTTAAAAATATTGTTCGCCAATTCCTATTGACTTCAGTAGGTGATTAAGGACAAATAAGGGTGGAAATTCTGGGTCTTTAAACATAAACAAACTGCCTATGGTTGAAATAAAGACACAACTTTCTGTGGGCAAAGTTTCCAACCCTGCGTGTGACAGCCAGCTACTTGTATTTGCCAAGAATCTCCTTGACATGTGAATCTTGTTATAGAGAATGTTTTTGACCTTTCCAGTGTTTGCATAAGAAAAATCAAGTGCAGGTGTTTTCAGAAGTGGCACACGATAATCTTGAGCCTGGGGTTTTCAGGACAGTGAATTTGGAAGAATGATTCTTACTAAGTGCATAAAAGCAAATCTGCCCTTTCTTGTTTGCGAGAAGTTGGAAATAAGGGGCATATTAACAAGTCACCTATTCTTAGCCATTTAGCAAGATATTTGCTGAGCCCCTATTTGGAAGTGAGTGGCGTGCAGAACAAGGCACCTGAAGCACCGTTAGTGATACGGAGAGACGAAGAGAGAAGAGGTAAGCTGCTAATCTCGGGGGCCTCATGGAAAGCTAGCAAACAGCTCATGAGAGGGCATGGGAAGCTTAGAAGAGAAGAGTTGAAAATTCAGTCATGACAACATCAGGGTCTGGACTGGTCAGCAGAACCTGCATCCGCATGACATGTATGAGCTGAAATTTGAAGGGTACGATTCAGATGCCTGGTGGCTGGCAGCGGGCATGAAGGAAGTTGGGAGTCATGAAAGAGAAGGAGACCTGAGGAACAGGACAGAGACTCATCTGTCTCTTGAGTACAGCTGACAGCTCTTCCTGGGGTTAGCAAATAAGGGATGTTCTAAATCCCAGAATTAGTCTGATGATAACTTGGAATCCCCACCATCTGTCTAATGGTTCTAGATAAGGATCTTTTGTTGGGAAAGAACACGAGCCGTTGAGCCCCATGGGACTGAAAAGGGGTGGGCGATCTGTGAGATTACGACAGGAGATTGCTCACGCATTCAAAAGTAGCTCGTGGGCCTGGAACCAAGGACCTCTGCAGGCCTTAGCACCAGCCATCTCAGCTTCTCTTATGTTGCCTCGTTCTTTCTCTCAATCTACCTTCGCTGCTTCTTCATCTTGCACAGCGTAAAAATATGGCCGTCCTGATCTGCTCCCCAATATCAGAATCTTTTATTTGTAGCATCTGTCAGTGACCAACATATCCTCTCTAGTTTTCAGTTTACATGCTTCAGAGAGAGACTCCTTAGTAAATGGGCAGGCGGTTCATTGGCTGGCTTAGAGGAGTATCACCCTGGTCCCACCAGCCATCACTCCTGAACAGGAACCACTCAGTGGTGTCTCCCTGCATCGGGAGCTCCAGAAGAGGAGATACACTGATATGTCCCATGCTTTGTAGCACCACCAGCTGTCCAGGGAACGCTTGCTATGGTCCACATACACATTTGGGAAATGCCTAGTCTGTTTCTCTGCCTCAAGGAAGGGTTTACCCTAAAGTTTTCTTCTGAAAGAGTTCTGTGGAATGAGGATAATAGCACTCACTGGTGGAATTGTCTAGAACATAAATAAGTTGCTATGTGCTGCGTGGCATAAGGCAAGCACTTAGTGTGTGGGATTTCTTCCATCCTTTGATATCTCATGAGTATTACACAACAGAAAATTGTTTGCAGTGCGTGTTCACTGATTTGTTTAATTGCACAAGTGATCTGTTAACATATCTGAGTAATTTAAAGCAAATCCTAGACCTTATTCTATTTCTTAGACATTAAATTAAGTATTTTAAGATATGTCTTTTTTTTAATATTTTTTTAAAAGATTTTTATTTATTTATTTATTTATTTATTTATTTATTTATTTATTTATGCAAGCACTGGGTACAGTCAGAAGCGCAGGAGGGTGAGAGAATCCACCAGAGCCAGAGCAGGGAACAGAGCAGGCAGAAGGACCGAAGTACACTGCTGAGGGGAGCAGCGGGCGGCAGGAGAGGTCTGTGCGCCATGCGGGACCCTCCTCCGGTGGCCGGGGAGCAGCCTGGGATCGAACCAGCGCTGCTGCTGCGCCACCGGGGAGGCCCAAGATATGTCTTTTTTTAATTTAAATTATTTTAATGCAATTCAGCAAAGTAAATGCAATAAATTAAAAATGTACCTTCAATTAAAGATACAAATTCCTTGCCTGCATTTAAACTAGGACTAAAAATATTTGGCATGACTAGTTTCTAGACAAAGTGCCAGAAGTAGGTAGAACTGCCTTTGAAATGTTTATGGTTTTTGTAATTGTTTAAAGTGAACTAAGACAAAGTGTGAATAGAAAAGCAAGTACACCGAAGCGGGACCGAGGTGTCCTGGCGCGCTAGATAAAGAAATCAGACCGCCAGCAATAAAAATAATTGCTTCTATGTCTGATAAAACTCTTTGGAGAATGTGACTTAGGCCCACAGCAGACCCACCGATCTCCTAGGTTCGATGTGCCATTCCTAGGTAAGTCAGGGACAGCTGGGGGACCGTGGGTGCTCTGAGCCCAGGGCACAGAATTCTTTTCCCTTGGTAACTCACTCTGCCTTCCCTGGAGAGGGGGAGAAAGTGAGCTGAGGGGTTAGGGTGCAGACATGAGTGGCAACTCAATGGCGGTTCCATCGACACGGAAGTTAGTGCTTCCTAGTCTCTGACGGCCCGGATAGGCTAGCGTGTCCGTGGGCAGATCGCTGCTTCAGCGCAGCGTGTGTCCAGCAGCAGACACTGTCACACTTCTTTGGTCCCATCTCCTGTCAACTTCACACACAGCTGCTCGTGTTCCACTGAACAAACCTTTACGGCGTGCGTGCGCATCCCGGTGCTGGCAGATGCCAAGATGGAGAAGGATGCGCTCCCGGCCCCCAGGCTCGTCACCCAGCGGGCTCTCAGACAAGTCCGCCCAGGTGGGTGTGCGGCCCAGTCTGCTAGGCGTTGTGGGGGTGTGTTGTGCGGACGTGGAGAGGCCCTACTCGGGCTTCCTTTGGAAGAGACTCAGTATCCAGTTGTGGGGACTGTGCTGAGCTGAGGCCTCAGCAGTCAGCTCCTTAAGGGTCCACCTCACCTTTCCTCATCTGGTCGTCCTCTCCTGGGGCCGTGCCTGCCCAGGGCCTGGGCCGGGTCATCACTGAGGTCATCGCTTTAGGTGGTTCCAGCCCACGACCAATCAAAGGGGTGATACAAAGGCCTGGCCTTTCAAGGCGGGACTCCCCCACGAGACGACCTTTGCTCCCAAACTTCCCACAGGGCTGTGTAGGGTGACCAGCTCTCCCAGTTTGTGGAGCCTGAGAGATGTCCCAGGACAGGGAATTTTCGGTGGTAGAACTGGAATTTCCGGGCAAAGCAAGCCAATGGGTATCTAGACCTCTCATGCTGTGCCAAGCCAAGCAAGCTCGTTGCTCACCTGCACTGGTGCCGGCCGTGTGGGGTCTGCAACTGGGCCTGGTGGCTCCTTCCACCAACACTGCTTCCTCTCCTTTTTCCTTTGCCAGGTATCACTTCCACTAAACCTTTGGTCCTCCTGACTTCTTCTGAGTGCCTGGTTCCCAGAGTTCTCCACCGAGACAGGGGCACATGTACCACAGAAACCAGAAGGGCGCTAAAAACCACAAGAGGGCATGAGCTGAAACAGATTACGAGGGCAGAGGACAATTAAGGAGATGCTCCAGTGTGTAATTTTTTCAGCAGGCATTCCTTCTGTAGCCTTCCACACAGAGACGAGGCATGTGTAAATATTCAATGAGTTAAGATCCCCTAACCTGCACTTGAATACTTAAAATGAAGGCTTTGCCCACCCAAAAGCCAATTTTCTTGTCCCCGTGTCCGTCTTTAATCATGCTTTGTTATGAATTTCTACGATTTTTAACAAATATTTTATTTATTTATGCATACAAGAGCTGGGGTGCGGGCCAGAGGTGGGGTGGGGGGGTGAGAGTATTCACCGGAGACAGAGTGGGGAACAGAACAGGCGGATCCACTGAAACACACTGCTGAGGCGAGCAGCGGGCGAGACAGGAGAGGTCTACTGCACCATATGGATGCAGATCTCTGGCCGGGGATCGAACTCAGGGCACAGTGGCTGGCAATAGCTTGATGGCCTTGAGACTTTAACCCCTGCACCACTAGGGAGGCCCTGGATTTCTATGATTTAAGAAGAAAAGTGAAAGGATCTTCAGCTATCCTGAGAAGTCTCCTTAAAATCGAGAGAGCATGTGGGTAGGATGTGACTGTTGGAGAAGGAAAGTCATGCTTCGGGCCAGGACTAGCACAAGCGAGGAGCTGGGGGCAGCCCTTCACGGCTCTCGCTGTCAGGGTTCGGTGAGTTCAGTCAGCACTTTGCACGAACCTGACAGTGAGCATTTCCTTCCCTACAGCACGCAGGTGCCTGGCTTGCCTCGGCCTGGCCCGTGGGGTGGACTGGAACCCATAATAATGGCAGGCACCTCACAAAGAATGCCCCTCTTCCTGTCCCAGGTACAAAGCCATCGTCCGGCCCATGGATATCCAGGCCTCCCATGCGCTGATGAAGATTTGCCTCAAAGCCGCCCTGATCTGGATCATCTCCATGCTGCTGGCTGTCCCGGAGGCTGTGTTTTCTGATCTACACCCTTTCCACGAGGAGAGCACCAACAAGACCTTCATTAGCTGTGCCCCGTACCCACACTCCAATGATCTGCACCCCAAAATCCACTCCATGGCTTCCTTCCTGGTCTTCTACATCATCCCACTGTCAATCATCTCGGTCTACTACTACTTCATTGCCAAAAATTTGATCCAGAGCGCTTACAATCTGCCCGTGGAAGGAAATATCCACGTCAAGAAGCAGGTGGGTGCTTGGGGTTGATTCATTTCCTCCTTGGGGAGCTGACCCCTCGCATTTCTTTTCAATGTAGTATGTGAGTGATCGCGCCACCCAATGCTGCAGTTACAGGACATGGGTGATCTGTAGCCAGATGGCAAATGGAAGCTGCCAGCCACAGCCACTCAGGAACTCAGGTGTTCTTTGTAATCTTGTTTTATTAAACACCTAAGCGAGGGCAGGCTTAGGAATCTGAAAGATCTGAAGTATGGATTTCTTTTGCAGAAATCACTGGAAAAGTATTGTTGGTGTTTAAAAACGAAAACATTGAGGCTCATAGGGGCATGACTTCTTTACCCCCCATCACAGCGCTGGGCATGGGAACAGGGTCACCACGCGAGGACAGCGCAGAGGTGGCAGGACCATGAGGCCGTGGAAGGAAAAAGAAGTCATTGGCTCATGATGGTTTCAGTTCCAACCCAGGCCTCGTGCCTTGCCCTCTCCGGCCCCCAGTTATCATGGGCAGGATGGGGCAGCAGCCCCCATGCTGGGAGGTTCTTGGAGAACTACAAGAGAGCGTATGTGTGGCCTGCAGTGCCAGAATGCAGGGTGCCCTCCACATGTCAGACTCCCCTCCCCATCACCGCCTGGGACCGCCATCACCTCATCCTCGAGCAGGAATGATAGGACCCGGGGGCTCTGGTTGTCTCCTTTTTGCCAGTTCTTGCCTTCCGGGCCAGAGGGCAAGCGCGTGGTGTTTATGACAGAGAAGCAGGAAGACTCCCCTTCCATGTGTAATAAATGTGTAGCTGACGCCACTGAAGGCTTCACCTTTAAAGGTCATTTTGGGGGGGCTTCTGACTCAGCTGTGGGGAGAGAATGGCCAGGCTCAATGAAGCCATGTCCCTACTCACAAGAGTGAACATCATTGCACCCCCAAGTTCCTTCACGAGAAAGCTGTCGTCCTGAGTGGTGGGGAGCACAAGTTGATGCTCAGTCTCAGGCCGAGACCCTTCCGGTAGAGTCGAGTGCGGAAACAACCTGACGGTAACCAAAAGCAATCAGAGGGAGCTAGCTTGGTTTGGCCAATGAGGAAGAACAAAGCGGGTGGCTTTTCTGAGCATCAGGGAGTCAGAAAGACATGAAGTCCTGCGGCTGGGACGCTGTGCCCATGCTCTCCTGAGCAGAAAGAGGCCGGTGCAGGAGTGTCGTCCGCCGTCCAGTCAGGAATGTAGTGAACGCTGAGGCGCTGCTCCCAGTGGCGTGTCCTAACTGTGGTCCGCCTTGTGGTCTCCTAGGCTTTTCCGTGTCTATGTTTCTGACTGGTTTTTCCTTTTTCTCCTCTTGCTGCTACATCTCTCTCACTTCTCTGCTCCTCTTGTCCTTCTCCTACTGAGCTCTTTTCCTGTAACCTTCTGAACTCACCTATTTCCCCAATTCTTCCCCCCTGTGTTTTCTGTTTGAATCTCTCTCTCTGCATTCCTCACACCTTTTCTATTGGTTCCTGTCTCTCTCTGGGTGACTCTCTCCTTAGATCGAATCCCGGAAGCGACTTGCCAAGACCGTGCTGGTGTTCGTAGGCCTCTTTGCCGTGTGCTGGCTCCCCAACCACGTCATCTACCTGTACCGCTCCTACCACTACTCTGAGGTGGACACCTCCATGCTCCACTTCATCACCAGCATCTGCGCCCGCCTCCTGGCCTTCACCAACTCCTGTGTGAACCCATTTGCCCTCTACCTACTGAGCAAGAGTTTCAGGAAACAGTTCAACACGCAGCTCCTCTGTTGCCGGCCTGGCCTGCTGAGCCGGTCTCACGGCACCGGCAGAAGCACTACCTGCATGACGTCCTTCAAGACGACCAACCCCTCTGTCGCCACCTTCAGCCTCATCAACGGCAACATCTGTCACGAGGGGTTTGTCTAGACCGACCCTTGAGCCTGCCCCACCAGGGACCCCTGGCTTCGCTTTATGGCTGGTAAGGAACCCTCACATATGTCATCTCTGTGCCCTCCCAAGACCCTTCAGCAGGCTCGTGAGTGGTGTGGGCAGGATGAAGAGGCCCACGTGGGTCGCTATTATGTCAAAAGTCCCAGCAAGTTTTGCTTTTTCCATTTCCACTTGTGAATAGAGCAACCATTCCCTTTATACAAAAAGGACCAAATAGAAAATCATGGCTTTAAGCAGCAAACCCTGATGTACAGGTGTGGCCAATTAAGTCATAGAAATGCTGTCTCACAGAGAAATTACACACTCAAGGTCCACTCGGTGAAAGACTTCACCTGGTCATTTCTTAAAGCAGAAGCTAGTGCTTTCAGAATGTAATTTGAGTGATTGTTCGGGAATATTTCTAGTCATAAACCAAGGAACAATTTTTATTTACACTTGTAACCTGAAAAGTCAACCCTCTGAAAGCACCCCAGGTGGGAGAGACAGCCCCAAACTGACAACACTGGAACCCAGTTTAAAACAAATTCCTAACAGTCGATTTTTTTTTAAAGATTTTCCTGAGGACCTCAGGAGAAACAGGCAATTCTAAGTCAAAAACACGACCAAATACATAAGCAAGCACATAAGAGCCAGGTGTGGCTGTGGGGTGAGGCCTTCTACTCTGAATTCTAACTCGATAAAAAATACTGGACTAAAATCTTTTTCTTTTGCTGAGTAAAAGAATTGGACTATCTTGCTTTAGCAGACCTGACTCAAGCACAGGCCAGTCCTGACAGATGGCGAATGTGTTACCCACTTTCAGATAAATGCAAATTCTGCAAATGTGCCTCATGTGTATCCCGTGCGCCCCAAGACAATGGCAGCTGTGGCTCTCTCCACCCAGAGGTGGCCGAAAGCTCAGCTCTCTTTTGCACACATCGTGTTATATGACTTTTACCTCTTGATGGGAGCATGTGCTCGTGGTCCGCAGAGCTCTAGAAGCCAGGAGCAGACGGGGGACAGATCTGTGTTTCCAGCCGAGCTGGCTGGAGGGCAACCTCGTCACTTCTGGCCGATGCACGCACTTCAGTCCATGCACAAGCTTGCCTGCTAGTCCCCAAGTTCCTTGGACAGTGTGAAGAGCAAGGTGGGTGGCGTGGCTGACAGAAGCAAGGTTTTTAGATTGACATCCCAACTCTGTCTCCAGCTATGTGACCTTGGCTCTCAATTTCACTTCCTTAGCCTCGTTTCCTCATCTCTAAATTGAGAGGACGAGGTGAAGGGTCTTTCTGTGGCTAACATCCTCTGAGTCTCTGCATGATCCTGTCTCTCCGGCATTTGCGCGCCCTGCCCTCATGATGCCTCTGGGGCGTTATGAACCCACCTGCCCACAGCTGCCCCACAGCTGCTACCTCTGCAATACTCTCTTCAGACACGCCGGCCCCCACGCTCATGTCACCTTAGTGGTCTGGAAGGAGATGGGCCATTCTGTCACTTCCAGGGGCTCCTCGGAATCATTTGTATGACTGACACCCCGTGGTTGTGCTTTGGAATCAAAGCTAGAACACACCTAAGAAAACATCCCCCGCCCCCACCTCATGATGCCCTTCCTCAACCTTCATGTGCCTGTGACCTTGAACGACTTACTGCTCTATCATGTCACCCTTGGATTTCTTCACAACTCCACACCTAGTTAGTAGCTACGGAGTATGGTGTTCTTGGTACCTAGCATGACCCATTCAAGTACCTCTGACTACCTGCTTCCAGAGACATTTGGGGGCAGGACTCATCTTAATGTCAGCTCTCCTTCCTAGCTTCTGGACAAACCGTGAGGAGACTGACGTCTAGGCCTAGCTGTGTGTCCTTAGGTAAATCTTATCACCTCTTTGACACTCTTGAGTGAACAGGCAGGAGGAGGTCTTTGCCAGCCAGTGACCTGGAACTGGTAAATCCACTGACGATCGACTAAACCTCATTGGGATGGGCTGAACTGAGCCCTTCTCTAGGGAAGTTAAATTTTTATTCCACCTCAAGAACTTAAAATCACTTGGGTGAGAGAGACCCAAGTCCCCGTGTGATGTCACCTCTCCGCTAGACCCAACTGTGGCAGGGGGCTGGAGCACAGACATTTCACGCCTGGCTTCCAAAGGTAATCATGTTTAGTGCTTATGTCTTTGGCGAGGAAAAAAAATCAATTTTTGCTGTGGAAAACCATCTGTGTTTATTCAATTGACAGACACTACCTTTCAATCTATCTTAAATTGAGCCTCCCCGAGGCAGGCAGCTCAACAGTGATAGATTAAGCAATAAACAAAGCACTCTTTCCACCAACGGCTGCCACTGGCAGGGAGCGATGCTCCACAGCAACATGATCCTCCCAGCTGGGTGCCAACAAGGCCACTTCCTGTGGTTGATTTCATGATTCCCTGTAAATATGGATGGCTCAACCCTGTTCTTCTGGCCGCCCTCACTCCCCACTGAACCCGACCTTTTGCCTCATTACCAAGCCCTGGGTTTCTCGCTTTACCCCAAAGCAATTTGGTTTCATCTTGAAAGATGGAGAACCTTGGGTAAATAAAGTTTAGAATCTGCTTCAGTCAGCTCAGCTTGTGCTGAAAATACACTGAACAGAAATGAATAAGCTTGTGCACAGGACATGCACACACTTGCGTGATGACGTCTTCACGTATGCCCAAAGCAGCAGTCGGTAATCTGTCTCGGAATCTATTCATGCACCAAGTGGCTTTCAGTAAGAGACATTATTGTTGTTTGGGGACTACGAGTTCAATGACATCTTCATTCTGCAGACTCAAAGATGGCTAAGTCACTTTTCCCAGAAGCCAGATTAGAAATGCGCGCCCTGGGAACCTGACTATGTGTTGAATGAAGAGAACCAAGATGAGCTGGGAGGGAGGCAGACTTCCTTGCCACTAGTGCACTTCACACTCACAGCAGGGAGCAGCCGTTGTCAGAGGACAACTACGACTCACTCTGGATTGCTGGGAGGAACCAGAACATTTTGCACCTTTGTCTAATTTTTCACTGAATTTTCATCAAATGGATTTACAGCTGAAATCAAAGGAATTCTTGACACTTCTGGGACCAGGCTTTGTGTTATCTCTTCAGTGAAGCCAAGTCTTAGCAAGCTCTACTCTATTCTCTATCTGGAGGGTCATTCCACTCAGCCCCCACCTCGGCCCCCCACCCCCCCACTCAACACAAACAGGACTTTAATGTCAAGCAATCTCTTACCATAACCTTGGCCTTGACAGATGTCCTTGTTTCTGTGGGGACTGAGCGTGAACTCCAGCTGGATATATCCAGAGCAGTCAACAAGTACCATGCTGAGGACACTTTCTCTCTTGAGATTTCACTTTAGAAATGCATTAAGTGGAATTTATCTTGTTTTTTTTTTTAAGGTTTCCATTGTTGCATATATAAATTTAAGAGCCCGTGGGTTAAAATATTACATGTTCGTGATTAATTTAAGAACATGCTTTGCACGAACTGAGTGTTCATGGTCTATAAAGCACTTTTAGATTCATCTGATCCAAGCCTTCCCTTCTGGCCTGAGAGCTGCTTTACTGTGGACGTTTGTAAATGCCAAATTCGCTTACTAGTGACCAGCTCCCATTCAATTCAAGGATCCAGGGAACTGTGAACCTGAAACATGAAATTGCCCACATTGGACCAGACTTGACCTATAAAGGGGATTCTGAGTGGTTCAACTTAATGTGACGTCATTGATACTCCTGGCCCATTCTGATACTGAAGGGTAGAGCTGATCGCTGGTTCCCAGTTTGCAGCTTAGTCCGTCACCCCCAATGTCAGTCTGTTTAACCTGGCATAAGGGCGTGAACGGCGTCCTTGTTGGTTGCCTTGGGAGAGGCCCGTCAGCGGGAACACAGTGTAAGGCAAGGCCAAGATGAGAAAGGCCGGCTCTTTGGGAGCAAACCCACCAGCCTCCAAGCACAGCGTACTTGTATGAAACATGGAAGGAGACAGTAGCTCTAGAAGTGTTGGCGAGGAAGTGGTTCGCTTCGCGAAGCACCAGTGATGGCCAAAGGCGGTACTAAGCACGTCTCTGGACATCTGTACAAGCATGTGGAAAACTCTTCAGAAGATGTAGCTGAGGCTCAGGAAGATTATTCCCCCGTCCCAAGGTCACAGGCACAGTCGAGTGGCAGAGTATGGGCCTGGACCTCTAAGTCCACGTTCATTCCAGCACTCAGCCTGGCTTCCCAAAGACAGCCCATGTGAGAAATTAAGTTCAAGGTACCAATAGACATTGTACTCCCTATGCGAGATTTTCTCCAAAGACCGGAACTAGTGATAGGGTCAAAGGGCATACACAGAGGGTGTGAGTTAAGGACCCCATGCAGGCAGAGGCCGAATCACAGCACAAAGTGGGCTGGCAGGGAAAACCTTAGTTCAGTTGCCCCCAGAGACACAAATCAGTTGCAGCTCAATGCCCTGGTCAGAATTCTGACAGAGGGTGGTTTCCCAGTGCCAGGAGAATGAAGACATGAATACACGTGTAGCCTCGAATAGAGAAGTGTCTCCCCAACTATGGGGCCAGGTAATGAGCTTGGAAATGGACTGACACCACCAGCTCGCTGCCCTTACGCTTCTAGAAGATAGGATTATTTTCCCTTCCCCCCACCCCAAATTTCAATTTTAAGATTCATTCCCAGAGTCATATAACGACACGGAAGGACTTGCCTAATTTTATGATCTTTTTAAAGGATCACTTAATGGACAGTAAAACCTCACACATTCAACACCTCATTAATTCCCGGACAAGCTTGAAATTTTTGGTATAACTCAGGACTTCAGTATTCAAGAAACATTATGTAATTTGGGCCTGTTGTGAATCTGACATTTTTCATCACTTTGCTTCAATTTTAGCTATTGAAATGGATTTAATGAGATTGAGAATGTACAACATTAAGAAAGTAAAACTGATTTTCTTAAAACATCTCTCTAATCTGGGCATAACTGATTCAAACAGGACCTTTGTTACATCCAAGTCGGCAGGGACTTGGGTAATAAAATTTGTTGAAAGAGTGAGTTCACTGAGATATAAAAATACATGGCACAAACTCCTTTAATGTCATTTTCTGTTTTGTTTTAAATAGTAGACTCATATTTTGTAAATTATAATTGTACTTGTTGCTATTAACTGTAAATATTTATTGCATTAAAAATGTGCTCTGTGTTAAATAACTCAGAACAAGTTCCAGGTGTGGTACTTAGTATAAATAATGTCATGACTTGGCTTTGCCTAGACTCCTTAGACTGATGAATTATTTATAAGAAATTCACAATATTAATGTGAGTGATTCAGATCCTTTCAAATGTGCAAACTTAACTGTGTGACCGTGTAAAATTCTATCTATGAGAGGTGTTCATTGATTGTATTCTTTTCAAGAAATGTCCCCAGGGCTTCAATCACAATGTGCATGGCCTATATGACTTTATGTCAAATCCAGTGTACAAAGCTGAATGTGAAGAATGTGTCTTATTTCTTAATATAATAAAGTATAATTTATGAAGTGGACAGATGCCTCTATTTTATGTTCAATAAAACTACAGCTGTTGGTTTCACTTTTATGTGGAATATAGCAAAAGGGTCAAAGACAAACCTTGAAAGCTGAGCATAGATAGGAGGCATGTGGGGGGAGCGGAGGGGGAAGTGTGAAAACTGGGGTTTGGGGGTAAGAGCACCGTGGACTATGGTGGAGGGTTATAGGTGCTTTGGTGGTGAGAGAACGATGGTGACCGCACCTGAGGGGAGAAATCCAATAGTGCCCAAAAATTAACAGCGATGTAGGAAAAAAGGACTCCATTTAAAAATTAAAAACAGTAGAAAATCAAAGAAACTATTGTTCGGAGATTCAGGAATGATGCAGATATTTTGTTTTTTGCGTTGTTTTTTGTTTTGTTTTGTTTTGTTTTTGCATGGCTCTTTTCAGTTTATTGCATGAAGGAGTTACACTAGTCCAAGTTAAAAGCAGACCCCGAATAGTTACATTATACAAGCTGTGAGGTTTTTAAACTTGTGACAAGGGACAGAAGGGAAATTCTACTCATTGCAAGGAAATCCTCACTCAAGCTTCAGTGAGCCAAAAGCACTTAAAACCCATGAACCTTCAGCTGGTCGTCCTTAGCCAGTCCAATCTCTACGAGGAACTGGCATATGTTCTTGCGCTGGTCATCCTGTAGCTGAATTACTTCTCCATATTCTGGATGCTCAATTACAGTACCATTGCAGGCAAATTTCTTCTTAAACGCCTTCACTAGTTTTTTTTTTATCGTAATCATCAGCGATCCCTTGGACAGTAGTAAGGGTCTTCCTGCCGTTTCTCTGTTGAATTCTTATATGGACATAATCCTCAGTGCCAGCAGGAAGCAGATCATTACCCTTACTTGCATCAGCAAAGGGGTCGAAAGAGTGGAGGTTCTGGATAGCGGACATACGATACGATTCCTTTTCCTCGGTGGAAACGGCCTGCGGAAGGCAGCGGCGGGAGAAGGTGGGCGGCGGGGGACGGAGCGTCGGGAAGCGAGGGGGCTCGAGGGGGAGGCTGCTGAGACCTCGGTGGCGGCTCAGTGACTGGGGCTGATGCAGATATTTTGAATGACGACAGCCTGCATGTTATAATTCTTTGAAACATCTAATATTCAGTTGGTGGTAGCCTCTAAATCACCATTGAATGGTTACAAAATACAAACTGAAGAAATTTTATAAAAAAACACAGCTGTTGGGGGAATACAGCGTGTGGCCATCTGCCCCAAGTTCCGTCGTTCCTGGGACCCTCTACACAAACATTGCCCAGGCTACTTGTTACAAAATGCAGATTCTGGGGCCTCCCTAGTGGCGTAAGGGGTTAAGCACAGCACTGTGAAATTATCCGCAGCCTCTGCAGCACGAGTTTGATCCCCAGCCGGCCAGGGAGTAACCCACATTGCGCGGCAGACCTCTCCTGACTCGCCCGCTGCTCCCCTCAGCAGTGTGTTTCAGGAGATCTGCCTGTTCTGCTCCCCACTCTGTCTCTGGTGAACCCGATCACCCCCTGCACCTCTAGCCTGTACCCTAGTTCTTGTATGCATAAATAAATCTTTAAAAAAAACAAAATGCAGATTCCTGTTGCCTGTTCGACTGGAATCTGGGGGTATGGCCTAAACATCTGCATTTTACAGCAAACATCCAGGTGAGTCCTCAAAACACTATAAAGCTTTGTTATATTAAACTTTTAAAATATGTATTCAACTTTTGAATAAGAAAGCCATTCTCCTGGTTCAAAACCAAAAACATAGAAATAGAAAGGTAGCCAGTGAAAAATCACCAGGCTAGCCCTGACCCCTGTCCTCAGAGTTCTCAACATCCATCACCACCCGCTCCAGTGAGTGACCATTGCTATAAGTTTCTTCTGCATGGAACTGCTGGACATTTTCATGCATGTGCAGATAAGTACGAATGTATGTTCTCCCTCACCTCACCACCCTTGGATAGAACTGGTAGCATGCCTTGTTCTGCTTTGCTTGCACACTGCACATCCTGTCTTGGAGATCTTCCCTATCATTACGTAAAGTCCTTCCTCATTCTTTCTTGCACCTCCAAATTTATCTATTCAGTGCCCCATTGATGCACATTTAGGTTGTTTGCAGTATTTTGTTATTATGAACCATGTTGCAATAAATAACACATATAATTTCAATCATGAGGAAGTGTTGCTCTTGAAAAAAATTCTTAAATATGGAATTGCAGAAATAAAGACCATATGCTTTTTTTTTTAATAGAGGCATGTTTTATTTATTTGTTTGTTTGTTTGTTTGTTTTTTGTTTATACAAGCACTGGGTACAGTCAGAAGCGCGGGAGGGTGAGAGAATTCACGAGAGCCAGATCGGGGAGCAGAGCAGGCAGAAGGACCGAAGTACACTGCTGAGGGGAGCAGCGGGCGGCAGGAGAGGTCTGCACGCCATGTGGGACCCTCCTCCGGTGGCCGGGGAGCACCTGGGGATCGAACCGGCGCCACAGAGGCCGCGGGCAGCATCGCAACCCAGCGCTCAACCGCTGCGCCACGGAGGAGGCCCAAGACCATATGCTTTTATAATTTTGACAGTTATTCCAAATTGTTCTCTTTAGGGCTTGAACACAAATTTTGAAAGGCTCTGCATTCTGGAATAATCTTAGCCATCATCAGGATAGCAGCAAAGAAATGACACAATTGGTTGCAAGCGGGGGCTGGCCACGCTCCCTGTATCTTAAGAGAGAGAGGTCACCAGGCATTCTTACAGACGCTGTCAGAAAACTCCTTGACGATTACTAGGTATTTACCCAAAGGACACAGAAACTAATTCGAAAGAGCACCTGCACCCCTATGTTTATAGCAGCACTATTTACAATAGCTAAATTTTGGAAACAGCCCAAATGCCCAAAAATAGATGACTGGATCAAGAAGAGGTGGTCCATATACACCATGGAATATTACTCAGCATTCAAAAAGATAAACTCATGCAGTTTGCAGCAACATGGATGGAGCTCGAAGGGATCATGCTCAGCAAAATAAGCCAGAAGGAAAAAGACAAATACCGGATGGTCTCACTCATAGCAGGAATTTAGAAAACCTAAATAAGGGACCAGGAAAAAGACTAATTATAACAAAGTAAAAATCAAAATCAACAAGCAACTATAAAGCAAAGACACACTACAGGGGGCCGGCGGGGAGAGAGGAGGAGGGATTAGGGTCAAAACAAGGGGGGGTGGGAATTGTATGGGGACTATAACCAAGATGAAATGCATATATGGTGCAAAAATGAAAAATGATGTAAAAAATATATAAAATAAAAATAAACTAAAAAATAGCACAAAAGAAAAAAAACTCCTTGAGTCACACACCGACAACCATGCCAACTGGGGGTCCTGTGTGTGGGGGTCATCTTGGGAGTCGGCTCTCTCCTTCCCAGATGTCTCCTACATCCCCTTCCACGCACCCCACCCCCTTAGCTACGGCGCGCCCACGGTTGAATTGTGAATGCTCGCTGCAAATACATGGCACAAAAATGTCGGTGCTTTAAAGAACTGAAAGGCACCCTTCCTAGTGCAGCCTGAAGCACAGCCTGTAGCTCTAGTTTTCCTGGATCAGGTCTGCGAAGACGGGCACACTGACCTCTGCAACACCGAGGCCATGAAAAGCCCAACGGCCTCTGTCTCGCGAGCACGACCCGGTAGAGCAGCGCCCGCCGCTCTTAAACTCCAAGGCGAGGACCCTGAATAAGGAAGGACAGAAGGAAGAGCTCATAAAGGTGGGACCCCAGCCCCCCTTCGCCCCTGCCCCTCTGGCACGGTCGGGCTGCATTTGGCCCACCCTGACGTCTAGGTCTGCAGCCCCGGGGGGTGCAGGTCTCCTGAGGGGTGCAGCCTCAGGTCCTCTGAGAGTGGAGTGAGGTGTCTAGGTGATGAGTTTGGGGGAGGAACGAGGGCGCTACCCACACTGAGCACAGGCGGCACCGCCGCGTCCCCCCTCCTGGCACCTGGGGGGCGGGGGGCGGGGTGGGGGGCAGAGTTGTCAGGCTGAGAAACCCTCTCGCTTCTGCCTTCAGGGTCTCCGGGAGAGGAGGACGTTGGTGGTGGGGGCGGCCTCCGATTCTTCAGAGGCAGAGACCCAGGAGCAACAGGAACGGAGGCGCGGCCCTAGTGACAGGACGGAGCCCACCAGCCCGGAGGGTCACACATCTGCACAGTCCTCAGTCCTCGTTTCTGCCCGGGGGGTGTCGGGGGAGGTTTGGGTGTAAAGGGAGCACCCGTTATTCAGAAGGGGGGAGTTTCAGCCCTAACTGGACTTCAGGTGAGGACCCCGAATTGTCTCCAGAGGAGGGGGTCACCCAGAGCCTGGGAGCATGAGGCGGGGGTAGGCAGATGTGCGCCCTAACTTTCCCTTTCCGGGCACACAGGGCAGGTGCGGGGCTGGCGAACGCACATCCATAAAAGGAGGCGGCCCCGGCTCGGATTGGCATCGCTGGGACGCCGTAGACCCACCCCTGCTGGCGCCCTCGGAAGCCCCGCGCAGCCGTGGCCGGTGGTGGCGCCCTCAGGCTTCCATCTAGAAGTTTCGGGAAGGTGAAGAACTTGGCCCGAGAGGCGCAACCTCAGGTCAGTGGAGGGTGGGCTCCTAGGACTGCTTAGGTTTGAAGGTGAGGACCCTGGAACCTCATCCCCAAGGAGCCCCCAAATTCCTATCTGGGTTTACCTCTGCGCGGAGTTTCGGGCTAAGCAGGCGGCCCCGCTGCTCTGGGGCCCGCTGCTCTGGGGCCTGCTGCTCTCGCACCCGCTGCTCTGGGGTGCCCTGGTCTGGGGCCCGTTGGTCTGGGGCCCCCTGGCCTGAGGCCTGCTGCTCTGGCGCCCACTGCTCTGGGCCCCCTGCTTTGGGGCCTGCTGCTCTGGTCCGGGCGGCCCGGCGGCTCTGGCGAGCAAACCTGCGCGGGGCGTAACGGCCGTCCTGGTGCGACGCGGGCGCGGCCAGCGGAACTTTGTTCCTGCCATGGGGCTGGGGCGCCCGGCAGGGAGGGCCGGTGCCCCCCCCCCCCCCCCCGCCTCTCTGGCAACTAAGGGAAGGGAGGGCGTGGGGGTGAGGTGGATGGAGCCCGATCATATCAAAAGCGGGTCCCGAACAGCCCCGGCCCCGCGGTGGCCCTCGGAGCCCCCTGACGCCCGTGGCCGGATGCGACTCGCCGTGACCCCCGGCCTGGGGAAGCCGGGGGTGAGGACCCGGGTCTGAGGGCTCCGCGCTAGTCGGGGGAGGGAGGCGCTCGGTGCTGGTCAGGTGTGACAGTGCGGGCCCCAGGGGCAGACCCTGAACCAAGAGTGCCTCCCAGTGACACCCCCCACCCCCAGTTCTGGGAGGTCCTGGCTGAGGCGTGGGGCTTGGAGGGTTCTAGAGAGGGAATGGCCTTCTGGTCTGAAGTGGCCCCAATTCTGTGGGGGTGGGTGAGGAGACATGGACCCCAGAGATGACTCTGAATGGAAATGAGGGTACCTCTCCCCCAAAGAGGGGCTGGCCAGAGCGCTACCCCTGCTTGCAGCTCTGGAAGACTTGGGCCCATGTAGCCAGACGTGGTGTACCCCAACTTCCCTTCTAGTGATTCGGGGAGGTGAGGACCTTGATCTCGGCCTTGTTGACTTGGCTCAACGGTGAGGAGTCGGAATCCGAGCCAGATCAAGGTCAGAACTTCGGGCGGGGGCAGTGCTGATGACCACATGGGGAACTGGGGGACCCCGTGGAGTGCCACCCCTGTTCTCGGTCCTCATAGGGCTGCAACCGGCCTGGGCAGGACGTGGCTGACCCTGAACTTTCAGCTCTGAGATCCCGTGAAGCAAGGGCTGGGCGTGGAGGGAGAGGTCTCCGCTCCACCGGGGACCGGTCAGGTGTCACGGGGAGGGTCCTGAGTGAGGAAGCGGGGACCGAGCCACCCCCAAAGGAGAGGGTCGCACCAGGCCTCGCCCCGGGGCAGCCCAGGTGCCCCGCTCATAGGGTGTCGGCGGGTGAGGGACTTGCTTTGAGGACTGGCTGCCGCATGGAGCAGAGAGGCGGCTCCGGCCCCACTGGGGGTGAGGGAGACAAGCACGCCAGACAGGGGGGGGCTGCGGGAAGTCTCCCCCCTGCTGCCAGCCCCGAAAGCCCTGGGAGGATGAGGTGACACCTCGCTTTCGGGGCGCGGGAGGGCATGGTCAGCAGAGAAGGGCCTCTTTCAGGGGAGAGAGCCCCAGGCCCGCCGCCGGGCTGCAGTCAGGCACCGTCCCCGCTCCTCGGCGGGCTGCTCGGGGCGGGCTGCGCGAGCCAGAGCCCGGCTGCTCCATGACCAGTGCCCCCGGGGACACCTGCGGGGGGTCCGCGGGCTCCATGGATGGCCTCTCCCTGCTGGACGGACTCACGTGTCCTCCTCCTCCTCCTCCGCCCCCCCTTCCCCCCCTTGTCCTGCAGGTGCCCCGTCCAGCTGCTGCTCCTGCCCACACCATGCCCCGCGGCCAGAAGAGTAAGCAGCGTGCCCGTGAGAAGCGCCGCCAGGCCAGGAGCGAACACCAACGTGGCCGGGAGGCCCAGGCCGTGGCCGCCGCAGAAGAGTCCCCCGTGGCTGGGGATCCGGGCCCCAGCCCCCTGCCGCGGGCGCTCCCCAGGGATCGCAGGGATCCGCCGCCGCCTCGAGTTCCTGCTCGAGTTCCGATGAGGACGACGGGAGCCTGGGGGCCTCGGCCTCGGCGCCCAGCGCCATCAGAGACCCCCTGACCTGGAAGGCGGGCGTGCTGGTGCAGTTCCTGCTGCAGAAGTACAAGGCGCAGGAGCCTGTCAGCCGCGCGCAGATGCTCAGGGTGGTGAAGAGGAAGCACAAGGCGCACCTGCCCGAGATCCTGCGCAGGGCCCGCGACCGCCTGGAGCTGGTCTTTGGCATCGACCTGAAGGAGGGCGACCCCGGCAGCCAGTCCTACGTGCTCGTCAGCAAGATGGCGCTTCCCAGCGGGGACGATCTGGACGACGCCAGCCTGGGCCTTCCCAAGAACGGGCTCCTGCTGCCTCTCCTGGGCATGATCTTCATAAGCGGCGACCGCATCACGGAGGAGGAGATGTGGAAGTTCCTCAACGTCCTGGGCATCTATGACGGGAGGAGTCACTTCATCTTCGGCGAGCCTCGGAAGCTCATCACCCAGGACTTGGTGCGGGAGCAGTACCTGGAGTACCGCCCGGTGCCCGACAGCCATCCCCCGCGCTACGAGTTCCTGTGGGGGCCGAGAGCCCATGCGGAGACCAGCAAAATGAAAGTCCTGGAGTTTTTGGCTAAAGTTAGTAATTCGGTTCCCACTTCCTTCCCGTCCCACTACGAGGCAGCTTTGAGAGATGAGGCAGCGCGAACCCAAGCCAGCGCGGCAGCCGGGGGAGCCTCCGGGGACGCCCCCGGGGCCCTGGGCAGCGCCAGCGACTCCTCACAGCCCAAGTGAAGCCCGAGGCGGAGGCTTTGAAGTGGAGAGGGACCCTCGACCTTCTGGGGGGGCAGGAGCGCACACAGTACAGAGCTCCTTTGCGGCGCGGTGGTGATGCGTAGTTAGAGAGTTCGTGTCCGCCCGTATTTTCAGCGTGTCCCTTTTCAAGAGGTTTGTTTAGATGCTTCGTTGTTTAAGTATCGCGTGGCTCGTGTTTGTTGCTGTGTGTTAAGTTTGAGCATAATTGTTTTGCATTTTGTCAAACAAATGGAACATTCTCGCATCTTTTAGTGTGTTCCAGTGCGAGAACATGGCATTGAGCTAGAGATACTGTTTTAAACGTGGAAAAACTCCACATGAAATAGTTGAGATGGGGGAGTGAAAGGGGTTAATGGTTGACCGACTTTATTCTTTTGTGTTTTCGCAATAAAAATAAAAGAGAGAGTACCTGCATTTGCTTGTCTTATTCAAGAATGTGAAAGAAATTAAATCATCATAAACAGAACTCTCCTTCGCTGTTTTGTCCTGCAAACATGAGTTGAGCATCTGCTCTTGGGAGGGCTTCGTGGGGATGTGGAGACAGAGATCCAGTCACGCCAGCACCATGTTGGCGTCCCAGGGAAGCTGTCGTGTGAGAAACCAGTGAGATACGCTCCAGTACCTCCAGGATGCTAAGAGGGAGGCATGGGGGGGCGAGGAGGTTCCAGAGCTCTGTGCACCCCACTGATCTGCAGTGGTGAGGCAGGTTGGCCGCTTGGGAAACTGCCAGTCCGTCTGCTGGAGGGAATTTTAAGTGGACTGCCCTGAGGCTGGAGGGGGCTGCCCGCGCCGTGGACGGGGACCAGCCCCTCAGAGGACGGGTCTCAGGGTGCAGAGACTGCCTGGGGCAGAACGCTCGGTTGTGACCCCTTCATTCTCACCTGGAGAGTCGCAGGGAGGGACACGGGCCTCGGGATAGGGGCGCTCTGGTTTGGTGTTACTACCCTAATTGGTGTCCACGTGAGGACCCTGAATCCTAATGAGGCCTTCCCAGAGCTCCACGCTCTCCTTTCAGGGTTGGGAGGCCTGAGGTGGGGTAGCGGATGGGACAGGTGGGTCATCCCAGGTATTCTGGGCACTGAGGACCTTGAGGGAAGCCAGAGGCTCTGACGCAGATCATTGGGGTCCCAAACAGTCCTGCCCTTGGGGCCAGCCCATACAGCCTTGGCTGGCTGTGGCACACCCCACCTTTAACCTTGGGGCACCTGGAAGGTGAGGACTTGGTCTGAGGGGCACAGACTGACCCTGGGGAGCAGAGGGTGGAGTTGCAGGGCTGGTCAGGTACCCAGGCGGTCAGGTACCCTGGATGTGGCCTTAGAGATCAGTCTACCGTTAGCCAAGGGAACGGCTCAGGCCGCGAGGGCGGGCAGAGCAGCGGTGACTTGAGCCCGGTCCTCTCAGGGAGGGGAGGACCGTGGGTGAAGGGGTGGAGACCCGGGTCCTAATTGGTGTTCAGGTGAGGAACCCAGGTGCTCACCAGGGACCTCTCTCCAAAAGATGGGGCGGTCATCCAGGCTCCCACTCCTGTTGTCAATACTGGAGCCCCAGACGGGGTACCCAGCTGGGGTGCACCCCAAACCCCCCTGATGGGAGGCAAGAAAGGGAGGAACTCCCAAGGAACACCCACACAGAGAAGGCCCCCCTGAGGTCCATAGCTGTGCCCTGGCACCCTCTTCTGGCACCCACTTCTGCTCCAGCACCCCATCACGGCGCTCCTGCCGCCCTCCTGACTGCTGTCCCTAATCACAGCCCTCAGCTCTCGCGGTCAGAAGAGGAAGCTCCACGCCTGTGAGAAGGCCACCACGCCAAGGTGAGGACAGGAGCTTGTGGGTGATCAGGCCACCCCAGGAAGAAGAGCCCCCCTCCTCCTCACCTTTTGGGCATATTCCCCAGAGCAGGGATGATGTCAAGCCACAGAGTGCGCCCTATATGTTTACGTGGCTTTATAGCAAGCCCTGCTATGGGTGGGTGGGGGGGTAGCTCCCTCTCTCTCTCTCCAAGAGTTTCTTTTCTCTTCTCACCTCTTTATATTCTTCCACATAAAATCTAGGATCGGCTTATCAATTTCCAAAGTTGGTGGAGTTTTGATGGCTACAAAATAAACTACAGATAACTTTGAGAAGACTTTATACTTTGAAAATACTGAGTCTTCCAATCTGTGAAATGTGGCATAAGTCTAACTAATTAAATCTAATCATTTTCACTGAAGTTTTATCATTTACTCCACATCGTTTGTTAGGTTTAACTTGAGGTGCATATATTTTTGAGGTTATTTTACATGAGCATCTCATTCCCTTCCATTTTTTAATTGATAAAAAGGAATTTGTATATAATATAGAGATAAATCAAGTAATCTTATTACACTCTCATATTGATTTTCATTAATATGCACATGGTTTAGGCTGTTCTATAAACATAATCACATCCCCTGTGACTGATACTGTTTCTTCCTTTCCAGTTCTTTCTATTTCGTTTCCTTGCCCTACCGCAGCACCAACCAGGACATCAGCACAATGTCCAACAGAAGTGATGAGTCAGCCCTAGCCTTGAACCTGAACTTAGAGGGAGGATGCCTCCATTGATTGTGTTTGCTGGAGCTTTTTGTATGAGGTTGAAAGAGAGAAAAGTTGATGACATATGGCCATTTTTACTTACAAAAACAGCAATTTCAAATTTATTTTAACTTAATGACTGCTCTTAACAAGTTAACTTAGTTCCCTCTTACTCTGTTTTTCAAAGGTTTGAGAGTACTTTTTTTTTTAAAAAAAAGAACCCTATTGAATTTTTTTTAAAGATTTATTTATTTATTTATACAAGCACTGGGTACAGTCAGAAGCGCAGGAGGGTGAGAGAATTCACCAGAGCCAGAGCGGGGAACAGAACAGGCAGAGTGATGAAATACACTGCTGAGGGGAGCAGCGGGCACGGCAGGAGAGGTCTGCGCGCCATGTGGGATCCTCCCCAGTGGCCAGGATCGAACCGGCGCTGCAGAAGCTGCGGGCAGCTTTGCAGCCCAGCGCTCCACCGCTGCACCACCAGGGAGGCCCTAATGACTGATTTCTAAACACCAAAACAGCCTGGTGTTGCTGGATTAAACTCAGCATTTCTCGTTTAATATTTTGTGTTTATGTTCTGGAGTGAACATGTCCCATGAACATGAATTACGAATTCATGTTGAATAAATATGAATTATATCCTGTCATAGAATGTTCTTATACTGTGTACTCAAATATTACCTCTGCCTGTTTGCTCTCTTTGCCATCTATAATTCTGACTAGGTGTATGTTAGTCTTCTATGCTGTTCTCATGTCTCTTAACCTCTTTCATATCTTCCTTGTTTTTCTTTCTGGTTATTTTCTTCAGGTAAATCTTCCAGTTTGTGAGTCTTTTCTCCAACTGGGTCTAATTTCTTTTGAATTCTTTTGAGTCATATTATATTCTGAAAGATCAATTCCAAATATGCTTGACAATTTTTCAATATCTTGTCTCTGCACATATTTTTAAAGTTATTTATTATTTCTGTAAATGTAGTAATCATTAGCTATTTTATTTTCTCTTACTAATATGTGGAATCTTCACAAATCTACCTTTTCTTGATCTCACATTTTCTGCTAATTCTCACTCATGGTGTTGGGTTGTTTTTTTTTTATTTCCCTTGCATTTGTTCATGATTTTTTTCCTATTGCTTGTATTCTTTACAATTTTATCTGCTGTAATTCTTGGAATTTTTTAATGAAGCTCCTAGTATAGAGAGCATTGGCATCTACCACACTCACTTATCTTATCTAAAACCACTAGATTATTGGTTTCAGATTTTGTTGAGCAGCCAGGAAATAGGAAATTGTGCCTGCCCAAGGTCTAAAAAGGCAGCTCTTGATTGCCTCTTCCTGAGGGCATCTCTTTCCTCTCTTCTCAGTGCAGAGTCATACAGCATCATTCATTGCCAGCCTCTGACCATAGCCTTTTGAGCTCCCAATATTATGTCTGGGGCCTTTAGTTAGACTCTTCCTCTTAGGCAGGCCCTTGATTTCTTCTGAATCCATGCCACATAACAGTGTGACACTAAAGTTCAAGTTCATCATCAAAGTTTGGCCAGCATTTTCAATGCCTAGGCCTGCCCTCCTTACCTCTCTGGGGTTCCATCTTTATTGACACTATTATCTACATCTTCCTTTCTTTCTTGTCAGGTATCAGCTCTTTTCATAATTTTGTAATCAAGTATTTTAAATTTTTTTCAGCAAAAAGATCAATCTTGTTTGCCCTAGTACTAGAAACCCAAGTTCAAAGGCATTATTTTTGAATAATTATTTTCTAACTGGTTATTTTCTATGGAGGCACCTACCAGCCGATGAAAATAATTAGCAACCCTTAGGCTCAAATTTACTTATTTTGCTGAGACAGAAAAACAAAAGTCATATGTATTCTAGAACCTAAGAAAAATGGCATCCCATTCCATCCTGGCCCATCTCATATGGCAGAATGAAGATTACAGCGTCGGAAAAAAAAAAAAAAAAGATTACAGCGTCAATTTGGTACAGGGACCCTGTGTAGCCCCTACTGCCTCTTTATTGTCCTTCCCAAACAATATTAAGTAGTATTCAGATTGTGCCACGGTAACTGTAGGCCTCCACTTGTGAGATTTCTTCTCCCCCCAACCCATATTCAAGTGTGTCTGAATCAAAATGTCAATGGTTCTCCACGTGGGGTGATTTTGCTCCCCAGGGCAAAACCGGCAGTGGCCTCCACAACAAAGAATTACCCAGGCCCAAATGTCTGTAGTGGCCAGGCTGAGACGCACTGGGGACAGGTAAACACAGAGTGTTTTGTCCTTAGAGGATGATTTCCTCTCAGAGTATAGATGGCAGAAAATATGGGCACATGATCAGCCAAATGCAATCCTATTACCTCATGAGAGGAAAACTTAATTGCCAAGTCCCTCTCTAATGTAAAAGCATCACCAGGGCCTCCCCGGTGGCGCAGCGGGTTGAGCACAGCACTGTGAAGCTGTCCACAGCCTCTGCAGCACAGGTTCGATTCCCAGCCTGCCAGGGAGAGTCCCACATGGCGCAGCAGACCTCTCCTGGCTCCCCCGCTGCTCCCCTCAGCAGTGTATTTCGGTCCGTCTGCCTGTTCTGTTCCCCGCTCTGTCTCTGGTGAATCCTCCCACCCTCCCGCGCCTCTGGCCTGTACCCCAGCTCTTGTATAAATAAAAAATAAATCTTTAGGGCCTCCCCGGTGGCGCAGCAGTTGAGCGCTGGGTTGCAAAGCTGCCCGCGGCCTCTGCAGTGCGGTTCAATCCCCGGCTGCTCCCCGGCCACAGGAGGAGGGTCCCACATGGCGCGCAGACCTCTCCTGCCGCCGGCTGCTCCCCTCAGCAGTGTCCTTCGGTCCTTCTGCCTGCTCTGCTCCCCGCTCTGGCTCTGGTGAATTCTCTCACCCTCCCGCGCTTCTGACTG